AAAATCATTACCTTGGCACGGCCACTGTCTTTGCCCGGTGTGGTGTGCTGGGGACCTAGTTTCTGGTCGTGGTGTGTGGTGTTTATGTGCAGGCCTGGTTTAAGCGTTTGGTTCAAGAGTGCAGGCTGCCAGTCTGCCAAAACCCCCTGTGTTCTGAGGCGCCGTGTAGCCTTTTGCCTCCTCCTGTTCCTCACCTGCTTCAGTCTTCCGTCTTCTTCCAAGTGTGAAGAAATAGGTTTGCTTTTGAAAATACTCCAAAATCAAAAAAATAAAGGTATTATGTAAAATACTAGAGCAATCCATTTCGTTGGTTTTTTTTTTTTTTTTTTTTTTTAACTGTTTTGCTTGAAGAAGACAAGAATGAAGCCTCCAGAGGCTCGGAGCGAGCTTCGCCGAGCAGCCTGACACAGCCAGAGCTGCGTGGTCGTGACAAGGCCATTCTTCCTTCTCAACATAGTTCCTGAAAACAAACACCTTCCACCTGTGCTTGCGGTGAAGCATGCTCGGTTGAGAAAAATAACTATTTTTGTTCTACAGCAATTGTTGTGGTTCCTTCTCAATTTTGTGTTTGCTGTTTATAAACTGATAAAAATAACAGTTACTAGAATCATTAAAGCCGAACAACTTACAGCTTTATTTGCGACACAAGGCAAAACCATTTAAAATTGAATTGTATTAGTGTGCAGTCATTTGTGATGTAAATTGTATTTTTTCATTCAGTATATCAAGTATGACCATTTTATGAATCAAGTGAATATGATGTGTATTTACCTATATTCCAGAATTAACATACTAACCTTAAAGCAGTAGAGAGCACTGGAAAATTATAGTTGTGTGTGTTTTATTCCTCACTCCATCTCCTTCCCCTGCCCAAATTTCTTATTTTTGTTTTCACTGAAGATGCATATATTTTTGAGATATAACTCACATAAAATTTACCAGTTAGAAGTGTACAATTTAGTGACTTGTAGTTATTCACTACATATTGATAGTTGTAAAGCTATCACCACTAATTCCAGAATATTTCTATCATCCCCAAAAGAAACTCTTACTTATTGACAATCAATCCCAGTTCCCTTGGACTAGCCCATTCTGGACATTTCCTGTAAATGGAATCATACAGTATGTGGTTTCTTGTGTCCAGCTTTTTCACTTACTATATCTTCAAAGATTCATCCATATTGTGGCATCTAACAGTACTTCACTTATTTTTATGGCTAAATAATATTCCATTGTGTGTATATATATATATATATATATATATGTATATCACATTTTGTTTATCAGTTGATCGACATTTCCAGATTTCACTTTTTATTTAAATCACTGTTTTTGTTTTAAGATTTGGGGAAAACCAGTCTCTCCACCCCTCACTCCCCGTGGCTTATTACATGTCCAGCTTGGTTTTCTAGTAATGTCTAAAACAGTAATATCTGAACTTCTTTTTGTAGGTGACTTTGATAGCAACATTTCTGTAGATCATGTATTACTTCCCTGTTGTACCATAAAAACCCCAGCAGAGTTAATAGGAAGAATGTTATTAATGTTGGTGAGAGCTCAGTGGCACCCTATATAATTTGTAGTATGATAAATGGACAATTAATCAATGCTCAGAATAAAACATGAGCAAAGCTCTGTTATGAGTGCGAACACTCTGAGAGGCCAGGCCTCAGACCACAAGTAGCTGTCTCACTGGGCTCCTGGCAGTGGAGACTACACTGGCTTCACCAGGCTGGTTCCCCAAATGGCAGCGGAGGGAACAGAGCAGGCAGGCAGGCATGGGCAGGATTCTGAAGGAGCTGCTTCCCCCCTCCTTTCCCTGGTGGCCGCACCCCCTCCCTCCTTCAGGCACCCTCAGGCTCTCCTGTAAGAACTGTGTTCAGGAGAAGATCTAATATGGTCACTTCCTCCTTCCTGGGGGGGGGGGGCACTTTATATCTGTTTTAAAATCTTGATGCTCTCATGGGGAGATACTTGTTTTTTAATTAATGACTTCACCTTTTAGTACTCCAAGACCCTTAAAAAAAGAAAAATGGTGTTCTCAGAGGTCAGGCTGGAACTTTAAGCCTTCGTGGGTAAACATAAAGGAATTATAAAATAACACAGGTTTTTAATCTTGTAATGTCAGGCTGAAGCAATTATGTTTTCTGTGGGTCTTTGAGATGGACTAGAAGCATCTCACTAAAACATATCTTCACGTACCCATCACTGAGCTTCAGAATTGTGTATGACATTTTAAATTGAATTAAAATTATTGGTACTAATTAAGCCCATCTGGTGAATGGGAAGTTCTATTTTTATGGAAAGCAGTTGAGTGGGAAAATGTGTTTTTATTAGTCATGCATTCATTATACCTCCTGGAAACCAGTCTGGATCACAAGGCCAAATTGCCCAGGAAGAAATAAAGAATGTTGGGTTGTGTAAAAATCACCCGAGGCCTTTGATTGACCGTATTTAAATGCAGCTTCAGGCCAGTGCCCAGACAGTGGGTTTGGGGACATTGGAGTGGTGCCCTGGAGTCTACCTGCCCCACGAGGTCCGCCAGAGGACTCGAACAGATTCCCGGTGGACCACACTTGGGGAAATAGCTCCATTTTGTAATCCCAGATCTACAAAGTGATAGCAAAGTTATGATAATATAAGTGACAGAGTACTTCCAATCAGCAAATTAGGCTGGGCTTGTCACCTAATTAATGATTTTTAAACATCACAGGTGAAAAAGGAAGGGTCATAGTTTTGTGGAGGCAGCATTTTCTGTTCCTCTGTGAATTCAGAAATGCTGGCGGGCTGATTGCTGAGTGGTGGGGGCGTTCTTTGCTCCCTCAGTTCCAGCCCCTGAAGCCCACTTGAACTTGCTTTTCAGAATATGGCATCGGCTATTTCTCTAGAGACCGTGGTTTTAGTCCTCAAAGTTATTAGTGCCCGATGGGAATCGAGTTCACTTCAGTACCATATTGTTTACGTGCTTCTGTGACCTTCAACCTCAGACTCCATACACGGTTCTCTGTGCATGAGACACAATGGCTTTTGTCCCTTTTGGAAAAGCTCTGGCTTTCTGGAAAGTATAGGGAAATTGTTCTCTTTTGGGGAAAGCCAGATGCCAGGGCTGATAGTGACCCAAGCACAGTCTTGGGTATTCTCCCTGAGGGCAGAATCTTACTCATCCTTGAGGCCGCAGCGCATCCTGCACAGAGGCTGGCACCTGCTCCTAGAGCCAGGGAAAGGGGTATGCCTGCTTGAAAGAAGAGGGTGGGTGGAGAGAGTTGCTGCTCACGCAGAACAAGGCTGCATCCCTGCGGTTGGCTGTGTGGGTGCAGAGTGCCGGCATGAGGGAGGCGGCGGGGGGAGCGGCCACTGTCCTTGACATCCAACAGGCCCTCTGCCAGATGCAGGACAGAAGGGCAGTGTCTTTCAGTCCAGCCAAATGGAGAGGCTCCAGAAGCTTTTCTTTTCTTTTTTTTTTTTTGTTGAAGTATAGTTGACCAGAAGCTTTGTGGAACATTATGAGAGAGGCGATGAGTTCCTTCCTGTTCTGAAAGGCCCTTCAGGGCTCTCTTCCATAACAGGAGGGGAGAGTCCTGGGCCTGACTGCTTTAAAGAGCTGGGCTTGCTTTCAGCACTGCCGTACCCCCAAAAGGTAGGATGCCACGTGACTGGGTAAGGGGCAGCTGAGCTCCGTGGGCAGGCCTAAGCTCTGCCCCCCTCCCCAAACTCACACCTTCTTGGACCAGCCTATTCCCTTCCTGTCTTTTCAGCTCACCAGGCCCAACCCCCTCCTTTTTAATTTGTTACCCAGAGCTCACTCTCCTTTTCTTTCCTCTTCCTGCTTCTGGCCTCCCTGTCCTTGTTCCCAGGAGTTATATGCATGTCTTGAAGTCCAGCCCTTTGATTGCTTGCAGGATGGTGATGCCTAGGCCAGGAATTTGGGCAGCCACCCTGTCACCTGGCAGGGAAACTCTCCTGGGAGAGGGGATGGGAATCTTGGAACTTGAGAGGGATTCAGGAGAGGGATTTCCTTGAGGGTCAGTGGAAAAGAAATGTGAATCTCCAGTATCTCAGTACTCCTTGAACCTTTAGTCAAAGAGTCACCTCGTCCCCATCAGGAGGGACCAGCCGTGCAGTGTTCATGCCTTACAGAAGACTTGCATCTCCCATCCTGTTGGCGTTCTCCATTCTCCCATGGGGCTCATCTTCCTAGCCACGTCCACCTGAGCAGCGTCCTTTTGTCCTCATGTTGAAGACACAGAGTTCTGATGCGCCTTGCTATTGAAATTATGCATTTTAATCAGCTACTTCACTTCCTTTGAATGTCAGGCACTGGCGTATCATAAAACCACTATGGCGCTGAGGCCACTGCTTTGGCATCCACATGGTCCTTATTATTTGGCAGGTTTGAGGCGCATGGGATTCCTGGGTTTGCCAGAGCCACCTACTTTTCCTTAGACCAGACAGATGACCTAGTGGCTACGTGTTTCCTTCCCTGGGTTTGCAGCCGCTGGGAGAGGTTCTTCCGGCAGGGCTCCAAGGCCAAGGACAGGGTGCGTCCAGGCCTGCCTGAGGGCCAGCACAGGAGTACCTCTGTGTAGACGTTTCTGCTTTGGCAGGTAGTATATTTCTTGTTTCAAGTAAAGAAACAACTCATGTCTTCTTTGGGGACTATTGCTCATCACAGGTTTTAGAGAGCCTGAAAAAGTGTCAGGTTGTGCTGGTATTTATGTTTTGCTTACACACGCGTGCACACGCGCAGACACACGCGACATTGGCATGCGGTCTGAATGAGAAGAGGTTGGTTGGTATGGGGTCTGTATCCAGGAGGATCTCAGGATTCTGTGCCCTTGCTCCCTCGCCTGGGTCAGGGATTCTGAAGGGTGTGTTGCAGTTACACATCCCCCCCCACCCCGCCCCACTCCCGGGTGGACTCTAACAGGGATAAATAGTTTGGGGTGTGGGCCCTCGATTTGCTGTCGTGACTCACTGAGTGTGCATCCCTGTTCCCCCAGGCGACTTGGAGCTCTTCTTGGTGCTGACATGATGACAGTGTGCAGGCCAGCCAAGGGCAGCCACATCCAGACTGAAAGCCTGAGCTACAAATTGGCTGACAAGTAAGAGCTTTTCTCCCCTGAGAGTGTAGACGTTAGCCTAGATTCTCCACTTCCTTCCTTTCTCTACTGCCTTTCCCCCCTCTCTGTCCCCACTTCCTTGGACTAAGGACGGGTTCTTTTCCGAGTCCTTGCGATGCGCCGCCTGAAAATCATCCCCACGCGCTGCAGAACCTGAGACCACAGTGGTCAGTGGAAGGTCTGACTAGTGCCCAGTTGCTGAGAGGACGGGCCCATGGCAGCTTCAGGCCCTCTCCCCATTCCAGCCAAGGATTTGTTTTCCTAACTACTAGGATGCATGGGCTCTTTAATTATCCTTGAGCCTTACATCTTTACAGCTGCATCTGTCTGCAAAACCTGTTTTGCCCATCCCGTCTCAGCAGTGCTGTTTTCTCTCCAGATGGAGCCCTTTCCTCTGACTCTCTGTCTCATACTCTACGGTGGGCTTGGTGACCACAGCTCTGCACCCCAGTCCCTGGTCCCTTTTGGGGCCATAGCGTCCTGGAAACAGGACCTCAAAAAATCCTTGGGTGCAACAACCACATGGAGAGGAGCCTCTGCCTCTGGCTTCATCATCCTGGCCTCTCGCTTGAACTTCATAAATCCATGCAGTCTTCCAGCAAGCCATCCTTCTTCTCTTTCAGTTTTCACATAGGCCTGCGTGATTGTGAGGTCACCCCAGATGTCTGGGATCTTAGACAATAACTGTAATCATTGCAACAACACTCCTTGCCATTTAGTAATATCAAGAATTAGAATGTGTGCTGTACTCCGGGAATGTTAACATATATTGACTCATCCACTCATTCATCTTACAAGTATTTTTTGACTATCTACTGCATACTAGGCACAGCAAACAAGATAAATTTGGCCTCTGCACCAGTCAAGTTCCAGTCTAGAGAAGGAGGAGAGAGTTACTTATTGGGGGCGGGGGGTAGAGGGGCAGGGAGACCTCTGAGATCGTGACCTGAGCCAAAACCAAGAGTCAGGTACTCCAGCAACTGAGCTACCCAGGTGCCCCGAGAGTTCTTACTTTAAAATGAAAAAAATACAGCCAAGATTCAAACCGAGGTCCCTCTGACTTGAAAGCCATATTTATCTGTTGTCAGTATTGTTAACAGTACATGGGTGGCTCAGTCGGTTAAGTGTCCGACCTATGATTTCGGCTCAGGTCATGATCTCATGTCGTGGGATCGAGCCCTGCATGGGGCTCAGTGGGGAGTCTGTTGGAGAGTCTCCCTCTCCCTCTGCCCCTTCCCCCAATCATGCTGCTCTCTCTCTCTCTCTCTCTCTCTCTAAAATAAATAAATCCTTAAGAAGAAACCAGTATGTATGATATATATGATTATTGTTATATCATCCATTGTCATTAAGCATGAACTAATGAATTGTGTTTTTATGTGTCTGTCCTGTCATCTTGCTTCTAGCACTGTGAGAGCAAGGGCTTTAACTTCTGCCTTTTGAACTCTCAGTAAAATATCAACAAACTGATTCTGCTTTTGCGTCTGACTAAAATCTGAATTCATGCTAATGTCCTCAGTGGTGACAGGACAATTAAAAAATGTGTTTCTCTTTTGTAAGCACTCTGTTATGCATGCTAATTGTTTATTTAAATAAGGAATTCTGCTTTGATAGCTGTATTTAAAATATGAAAATGTGTTTGCATATTCACAAGTTTCTAATTTATGCTGTGCAACCACAAATAGCAATGCAATTTACGTGTTAATGTCCCAGTGGAGGGAGAAGTCTTCATATAAACAATTATTAGTCTTTGGAGCAGAAAGCTAAATAGTAACAGGGTGCGTGAAATTGCTAATTATTCATTCCTCACTGTGAACCTTAACTGGAGTTTCAGAATTCCTATATAGTCAGATCTATATATTCCAGAAATGTGCACCGTGAAGATGGTCTGTGCATCCTTGCTAATCTTGGCACATCCAAGATCACTCTGCTTAGTTATGACCTTTGCTGGTGGAAGAATGTTTTGCATTCAGAAACAGATACTCCCGTTCTCATTAGACTAGCTTAAAAATGTTTTTCTGGTTTTCTTTCAAAAGAGCTTTTAACATCTTCATGGCATTGACTAATCCCCTAAAATCACATTTGGAGGCATCTGTCCCCACATGTTTGTTCTAGGCCAGAACTTTAGCGATGATGGAAATATTCTTTTGCTCTGTCCAATGTGGATGTCACATGTGCCTAATGAGTACCATGTTCTACTACTCTGCCATTGTTCTAGGTGCTGGGGACTCAGCAGTAGCCCAGATAGGCCAAAATTCAAAGTAATCCAACAAAACAAAGCAATCCCTGTCCACATGACAAACCAGTCTAGTAGGGCTCATGTTCTAGAGGAGGTCCAATTCAAATGCAGCCAATAATTTTGACTTTACCTACTCAAGTCAGGAGAGCTTATGAAGCCCAGAATTAGCAAACATTGTATGACTTATGGCATTGTTCTAATTTTTAAATAGTCATCGCAAAGGCCCATCCGTTGATTACAGAAGCAGAGAAAATCTGGACAGTGTAAGCTTTTGCCTCAGGAGATGTTCCCTATTTTCATCAGGGAAACAAGCTAACAATAATGATAATAACATTTATTTACACTCACGACATGCTAGATGCTCAATATGGTCTGCCTCTTTCAGTGTTTTCAGCCACTCTGGTAGATATATATTATTATTATTCCCATTTCACAGATGAGGACACTTAGGTTTAGAGAAATGAAACAGTTTGCCCAAGGTCACACAGCTGGTCAGTGGTTGAGTTAGGCTTTAAACTCAAGTCTATTGCATTCCAAAATCCAGTAGTTCCTTTCATTCCACAATACTGTCTTCCCAAGAAGAGCAAAGTGATTCCTTAAAGTGGTGGTTTCAATGTTTGTGACTTACAACTAGCATATAGCATTTATATCTAAGTTCTAGCCAGTCTCTATGGCCAGCCGAGAACAGTGACTAAGAATCCATAACCCAGTGTTTGTCTTTCTTGTTCAGGGTCAAGGTGGAAGGTCCAAAGGCTGGGGAAGACCCTCGAAGGCTGCCATTTAAGCCCCCCATTCCTTTCCCAGAGACTGATCAGGATTCACCCCCCAGAAGAAGCTCATTGGAAAGACTCAATAACCTGATGCTAGAGTCAAGAGTGGACTGTTTTCAGCAGAACATGTTCAGCTCAAATATGATCATCAGCGACGCAGCTTCAGATCTCAGTGCTAAAGAAGCCAGCAAGGCGGGCAAGAGGCAGCTCAGTGGCATTCAGAACCCCTGCCCTCCTACCCGAGGCGGGGCCCTGCACAAGCCCCTCAGCATAAAGGACAAGATATCCGAATGGGAAGGGAAAAAGGAGTTGCCCCCTCCTGCACCGGGCAGGAAAGCAGATGGGCAGGAGGACTACCTGATGTCCTGTGTGATGGGGAGGAGAAGCAGTGATGGTGTGAGAGCGTGGGTCCCGGAGGTTCAGGATGGAACCAGGCCCGAGACAGAGAGCAAGGAAAATGAGAGGAATAAAGGGGTCATGAAAGTCGGGGGGCAGGATGCAGAGCCAAGGCAAGACCTCAGCCAACCAGCCGGGCAGCTGGCACCCAGCTTGGGCAGAGGCCGAGAGCCCAGGCTGGGCAAGCAGCGCTTTCCGAACGATAGCCTCTCTGTGCTGAGGCAGGTCAAGAAACTGGAGCAGGCTCTGAAGGATGGGTCGGCAGGGTTGGATCCCCAGTTACCGGGGACTTGTTACTCCCCACACTGCCTGCCGGACAAGGCTGAGGATGGGCCCGCCCTTCCTGAGAACCGTGGGGGCGGGCGTGGCTCGGAATTCAGGTCCTACCCCTGGGACCTGGAGGCTAGGGAGCCCGCTCCTGAGGCCGCAGAGGAAAGGAAAGGCTCGTGCAGGAGGCCCTGCGACCAGAGCCTGGAGGGTGTGGACAGGGGCTCGGAGGGCTCCCCTGCAAAACCCTTCATCAACCCCCTGCCCAAGCCCCGGAGAACGTTCAAACACGATGGAGACGGGGACAAGAACGGGGACCCAGGCATCAGCTTCCGGAAGAATAGAAGGCACCTGCCTCCTCTGCCTTCTCTCCCCCCCCCGCCCCTGCCCTCCTCCCCCCCGCCCTCCTCTGTGAACAGAAGACTCCGGACTGGGAGGCCGAAACCCAGTGCTGACCACAGGTAGGTGACAGCGGACTCTCTGCCCCAGTGGTTTATGCGGCATCACCACTGCTCTCAGGCGAGCTACCGGTTTTATTGAACGGAGGGACCTTGTAGTTAGTTGGTCGAGACCGTTCATGGCTTGAGACAGTGTGTTGATGAAACCTGGAGACGTGATAAGCGATGCCTGTGTTTTGTGTTCTCTGTCCTCAAAGTGAGTATTGGCTTTGAAAATGTACCTTTTGGACATGATAAGTGCTTGTATTTCTGCCACTAACCCAGACTTCAACGGAAACTCAGTTAACTCTGGCAATGGACTAATTCATGCTCATTGACACTCATCTGCCACTACTGTCCCCCACTAGTGCATGGTGCTTCCAGTGTCCCCTGGCTCCTTTCTTCATGTTTTTTCTTGGTATGAGCTCTAGAAACACAGCCCGGGTCTGCCTCGACCCTGTCGCCATCTATCTGCGTGACCTCGAACAAGTTGTTCGACCTCCCAAAGCCTCTGTTTCCTCCATTATACAGAAAGAGGCACACCCTAAATATTTTCTAATGTCAAAATTGTACATAAGATAATAAAGCATGTGCACGCCTGAAGGTCAAATTTACCTGTTGGAAACCATTTCTTTTCTGCTTTGAGAACTAATTTCTAGCCCATTTCTGGGATGTGCTAATTGGTTTGATCCCCACTAATCTGGAAACCAGCCACAGAGCAAAACTCAAAACCGTTGTTTCTGCTCTGGTCACCCACTCTGCACCTTCTGTTTTCCCCTTGACTCCCTGCAGTTGGGCTTTTGCCATTTATCCTGAAACTGCTCTTGACACAAGGCCACCTGTGACCCCCCCATCTCACTATATCCAGTTGCCAGTTCTCTGTTCTTTTCTTACGTGACATCTCTTGGCGTTGGAGGAACAACTTCACTCCCTCCCTGGAAACACTGCGTTCACTGGGCTTCTAGATCACCTACTTTCCTGGGGGTCCTGCTTTCACACACTGCTCCTTCTCAGTTCCATTCCCCTCTCCCTTCGAGTGTCAGAATAACACCCCCGACACACCATCCTGGGTCAGAGCAGGCACTTCTCTCTTCCATCTGTCTCACTCCCTAAATGAGCTCATTCAGTCCCATGGCTTTAAATGTCAGTTACATGCTTATGACCCCCGCATGTATCCCTACAGCCCTGGCTCCCTCTTCCAGCGAAGGTTTGCAGAGTCATCCCCTGCAGGGGTCTCCATTTGGTTATCTAATAGTTTGGACTGAACGTGTCCAAACCTAAATTCCCAATCCAGGCCACTGCTAAGCGTCTCCTCCCCAGATAATGGCCATCTTATTAAATGGCATCACCCTTCGTTGCACTTAGGCCAAAACCTAGGAGTCATTTGTGATTCCTCTCTTTTTCACACAGCCCTAATCTAATTTATCAGCAAGCTGTTCGGTTCTAGTTTTAAACATTATCTTGAATCTGACTACATCTGCTCTACTGCTAGCAGCTTAGTTGTCTCATATCCACCTCCCACCCCAGTGTACTCCTCCGTAGCAGCCAGAGCAGTTTTCTAGAAATACAGTTGATCACGTCACTCTCCTACTCAACACGATCTGTCAGGTAGGGTTGTTTCGGCTGCAAAAAACATAATTTCTTATGTTCTCTTCCAAGGGAAAAAGTTTGCATATTCCAGATAGGTAGGTAGGTAGGTAAGTAGATAGATAGATAGATAGATAGATAGATAGATAGATAGATAGATAGAAATTATGTCCTTTAGGGCGCCGGGGTGGCTCAGTTGGTTCAGCGACTGCCTTCGGCTCAGGTCATGATCCTGGAGTCCCTGGATCGAGTCCCACATCGGGCTCCCTGCTCGGCAGGGAGTCTGCTTCTCCCTCTGACCCTCCCCCCATCTCATGTGCTTTCTCTCTCATTCTCTCTCTCTCTCAAATAAATAAAATCTTTAAAAAAAAAAAACAAAAAAAAAGAAAAATTATGTCCTTTAAAAAAAAGAAATCATGCTATATATACTGTTTTTTACTTAGGATATCGTGGAGATCTTTCAGTGTTACCACTTTTTTTTTTTCACCTTCCTTTTTTATTTTTTTAAAAGATTTTATTTATTTGACAGAGAGAGCACAAGCAGGGGGAGCAACAGAGGGAGAGGGAGAAGCAGGCTCCCCACCGAGCAAGGAGCCTGATGCGGGGATCATGACCCCAGCCAAAGACAGATGCTTAACCGACTGAGCCACCCAGGCACCCCTTATGATTTAAAAAAAAATTGGGGGGAGGGCAACTGGGTGGCTCAGTCGTTAAGTGTCTGCCTCAGCTCCTTGCTCCTGCTCAGCCAGGAGCCTGCTTCTCCCTCTCCCACTCCCCCTGCTTGTGTTCTGTCTCTAGCTGTCTCTCTGTGTGTGAAATGAATAAATAAAATCTTCAAAAAAAAATAAAAATAAAATAAACTAATAAAAAAAATTTCTTTTTTAGAAAGAGAGAGAGAGTACTTGAGTGGGTAACAGGGAGGGAGAGGGGCAGAGGGAGAGGGAGAATCCTAAGCAGGCTCTAAGCCCAGCACAGAGCCTGACACAGGACTCCATCTCACGACCCTGAGATCAGCTGAAACCTTGTTGGGTGCTCAATTGACTATGCCACCCAGGCACACATACTTATTTTTTTACTAGGAGTTTTAAAAATTAGGATTGAATGTTAGATTTTGTCAAGTTACTTTTCAGTAGCTTTATATGATCATCTGGTTCCTGTCCTTTGACCTATGAATAAAGACTTTATGTCCTAATATTAACCCATTTTTATGTTTTGGGAATGAACTTCCATTTGGTCCTGGTTTGTTCCTCTCTTAATATACTGCGGAATTCTGTTTGCTAATATTTTATTTAAGATTTTTGTGTCAGTATTCCGTAAATGGGACTGGTCTTTACTTGACCTTTATTGTACTGTCTTTACCAGGCTTGGGTATCAGTGGTATGTAGGATCTATCGAAGAACTTAGAGGCTTCCTTGTTTATGTTCTGAGAAAGCTTGTATCCATCTCCGGTTCTAAATCCTTTCCCAAACTGGTGCCAAAGCCCACGTGCCTAAGTACTGGAGTGACCTTTCTGCTCGTGACCCCAGTGTGTTTCGACAGCAGCTCTTCCATGCCCTTTCTGGGCTGTTCTTCCAAGAAGGCCCCCTCTCTCAGGGGCAGGTTGCGTCTGGGATATCAGAGTCTTTCCTCTGTGTCATCACTGGGCAGACAGATCAACCTGGTGTGCAGTTATTCCCATTATCTTTTCTCTCCTAGCTACCATCTGCTCTTTGCAGTCTTCCAGCATTCTCTTTAAAACCAGCTAAAGTTACTTAGTTTCAGTCCAAAGATGAAATTTTTCTTGGCCAGTTTGAATATGGTTGCATCAGCTGTGTTTTAAGCATTTTGGCTTTGGATTTTTCCTTTTCTTTAAAATAGTACAATGGGGGTGATTAGGGCACGATGTTCATTTTCTCCTTTAAAAAAAAAATAAAGTGTACTTTTTATTGTGGTCCTATCTCTTAAAAAGAAGAGGCTCAACTCAGAATTTGGCAGACTTACCGCCCTCTCTGAGGCGGGAGAGCCAAGCCAAGGCTGAAGAAAGAAATGATTAAGGATTTTGAGGTTGGGAGGGTTTAGAATTACATGGCCAGGCTGCACACTTCAGAGAACGTATTCGGCTTATTTTCATAGGCTGATGAGTCCACTTCTGGGGAGCCAAACCAGTGGACTCGGATTCTCAGTTTGAGAAAATGTCTTCTTTCTTTTCATTCTCTTCCCTTTTTTCTCCTTTCTGTGTTCTCTCCCCTTCCTCCTTTCATCCCTTTCTCCTTTCTTCATTTCTCTAAAGCCCCAGGAAATTAAATGCAAGGACTTGTGCCTTCGATCCTAAAATGGGAAATGAGAAACCCTTAAATGTCAGGAAATTCCAAAGATAAGGTCCCTACAGCAGCATTCACTTGGTTGTGTATGTTCTGTGGCATGTGCTGAATAACTCTGGCAGGAATGCCTTAAAGCCAACATGTAACGAGGAAAGTTAGTATTCTGTAAGTGTAAGCAGCATCCTGAATTCACATGTATCTATATGCCCCAAATGTTTGAACTGAAATGCAGATTTTTTTTATTATGTTATGTTAATCACCATACTGGAATGCAGATTTTTAATTTTAGTTTAATTTGATCCTATGACGGAGTTTTTAGATCTTTATGAAACCAAATAACGATGTTGACCAAAATTTCAGCTTTTCAACTAATTATTTTGGCATTGTATAGCTTTAGCGTAGGACTTGCAGAACTTTTGGAGGATGTGAAACCTTGGTCATTATATGGCTGCCAAATCACATGCCTGCTGTTACTGATTCAATAATTTCCATCTTCTGCAGGACTGACTGGGATCCCCAGAGTCGTCTGGCTGGACGGCATCCCTCAGCTATTACCCAGTTAGTGGCTAAGTTAACTTAGCAGCCACACTGTGGTCTGTCCCTATCATTATGAGTCTGTCCCAGTCAACATGACATCCATGAGGCAACTCTAACTGCCATGTCTAAAAACTAAGTGTTTGGGGGCGCCTGGGTGGCTCAGTTGGTTACGTGTCTGTTTTCGGCTCAGGTCATGATCCCAGGGTTCTGGGATCGAGCCCCACGTGGGGCTCCCTGCTCAGCTGGGAGCCTGCTTCTCCCTCTCCCTCTGTCACTCCCCCTGCTTGTGCTCTCTCTCTGTCAAATAAATAAATAAAATCTTAAAAAAAAAAAAACCAACACTGAGTGTTCAGGGGCGCCTGGGTGGCTCAGTTGGTTAATTGTCTCACTCTTGGTTTTGGCTCAGGTCATGATCTCAGGGTCATGGGATCGAGCCCTGTGTTGGGCTCAGTGCTCAGCAGGGAGTTATGCTGAGGTTCTCTCTCTCCCGCTTCCTCTGCCCCTCCCCCCACTTGGGCGTGCACACTCATGAGTGCAGTGCTTTCTCTCTCTTAAATCAATAAATAAATCTTTAAAAAAAAAACCATGAGTGTTTATTTA